GCTCGCTGTGGAAAGCGGGCCCACCCGGGCGGGAAACCCACGGGGACCCAGGGCGCATTCGCCGCGAGCAGAGCTCCCCCGACAGACAGCCTGGCGGCGCCTCGGCTCCGGAGCCCGGGGTTTGTTAAGCTCATTCTCAGAACCGGCCAGTACGCCAGTGGGGTTTCAACCCAGTCTGACAGCAAAATTTAAGATCTGCGTGGAGCCCCGCCGGCGTGGCTCAGGGGCTGAGCCGGGACCTGGGATGCGGGAGGCCGGGGTTCGATTCCCGGTCGGGGCACATCACCCGCAAGGGCTCATCCCACCCAGCAGGGGGCGTGCGGGAGGCAGCTGGTCATGACTCTCATTGAGGTTTCTCTCTCTCTCTGCCCCTTCCTCTCTCTGAAATCAATAAAAACATATTGTTTTTAAAAAGAAAAAAGATCTGCCTAAAGCTGGCAGTTTATCCACATGAGGAATGTGCGTGCACGGGCACAAGTCTGCCATTACAGCATCTGCCCTATCAAACAGGGGAGCCATCCTAAAGAGTGCTGGTGGAAATGCCTGGGAGTGCCCACACGCCTTGATGAGTCACTGGCAAGTCACCTGTGATCTACTTTGACACCTGATGTTCTATTCCTCCCACATTCATATTTTCAGTACTCCTAAGACATTTTCCTAATGACTCACTTTCTCCACAACTAAATAGGCCTCAAAGTCTGTCTGTGGGCAAAGATGTCAGAAGTCTCTGTGCACGTCAGGCACCAGGCAATCTCCTGCAATTTACTGCAGTGATTTACAAATTTAAAATAGGTCTCCCTGTGATCACAAACAGAGATACCACCATTTCACGCTCCCGCCCGGTTATTTCCTTTGCTTTAAAGTAGAAACTCATAGAACAGACTTTAAATTATCTCAGTAAAGACCTTGTGAACTCTTTTAAAACCTATGGTTTTTCCCTTTGGAAGTTTCCCAGTGAGAGGGTAGATAGTTCAAAGAGGCTAGAATGAGAACCAGAGACATAAACATGATGAACCTAAGGTCATGGTGACTAAGGATGCAAATGTGTCATTAAATGCTAATCCCGACATGCAAACTCACTTTTAAGATAGACCTTCTTTTATAAATGACCTAATTTTGAAGAAGGGATAGCCAGACTATAAAGGGAGTTAAATACCACAGAATTAAGAAGACATATCAAAAGGCTCAAGTGCAATAGTACCCAAGTACTTACCAAGTGCCACTTTCAAATTTGTAATTTACTCTCTCTGGATCTGAAAACCTGTGATCTAAAAATGAGAACACACACAAGTCATCAATTTTACTATTAGAGACACAGTTGTGGAAGGAAATTCAAATGTACAGGCGAGGGAAGGGGGGGGCAAATTCTAGGCCTGCAGTGTTCAACAGCGATACTTACTATAAGGCTCTGAAACCATTGCTAAAATTATATTCCCCATATCCTCAACTTGAGAGGCTCCATACCGGGAGACAGAACTATTCTTCTCAAAGTTTAAACCTGGGAGATAAAGTCAAGGAAACATTTTGGGGAGGTAGAATGAGGTCGCTTCTAACGTCAAATTGAGCTCACACAGAGCTAAGAAGTGAAGTGAAACGTATCCAGATTGACAATTCTTTGAAACCTCAGAATGGCCAGGTCCTCAGTCTGGATTCTCACACATCCTGAAGTCTCCAATGCTCTCTTAGGTAAAATGGCCAAATCAACCCTGTCCTGAGGTGCTTGCCAGCAATAAAATTTGTTTGTTGAGCAGTAGCAAACAAACGCACAAATACTGAGACTTTTGTTTAGTTTCAAACCATGAAGTATTCAACAAAGTTAATAGAATTCTTCATCCTATGTATTGTTACAGCCCACACAAGACAATGCCTATGTCTACTTAAAGGTACGATTACATTGGTTAAGACCATAAGGCACTAAATGACTTTTCTAAGCCTAATATTGGAAAAAAACACCTCAAATTACTGATGACGCTGTTTTTGTGATGCTACTTCTACTCAGAACTTCCCTTCTAGAGGATTGTAAGAGGCCCATGGTATGGCCATCTTGGATGGCAGCAAATGTTTGTCCTTGAGAGTCAATTTGCTAAGAAAGAATTCAAGCACTCAGAGCCAACACTGGCCAACACAGCTCTTGATCAAGAGAGTAGGCTGTTTGGGTAAACCAGGAAGCTTTAAAGAAATGCATGGCTCAAACTGGCTTTGAGGGTGAAACCCAAAAGAGAGTTCCATCAAGTCTTATGAATTTGCAATCTCTCTAAAATAAAAACGTATCTTTGTTAAGATAGCTACCTTAGAAAGTTAACAGTCATTGAAGTTTTAAGTTTTTTAAAGTTTCAATGCTATAGCTACCCTTCGTATTAATTTTATAATGTAGTAGAATACATATAACAAAACTGACTGGCCCAGTGATCCAGCCAGCCTAGCAATCCTGCCAGGCCTCCAGCCAAGACCTCACCAAAATGCGGTCACAAATGGGACACGTCATGAAAATCATGATGTTCACACCTCACAGATTTGCTGAGGATAAAGATTATTACTCAACAAAGGAGTAATCTTTTGTCTTTTTGATATAGCCATTCTAACAGATGTGAGGTGATGTGAGGTGAACTCCTTTTCCTGAGAGAGCTCATGGAAAAGGAGTTCCTTGGGTTTTTTTAGAAAATCAAGGCTGTGGCCACATAATGGACCTGGACCAGTGCCAAGCACACAGAGTGGGCTTCTAAAGTTTTTCTCCCACTACTGCTGGGCTCACTATCGCAGGCAATGCCTACTTTGTAGTACACAGGGAGCAGAAGGGAGTAGGCGACACTGAGCAATTACTCTCACCCTGAGATTTCTCCCAATAGATTGCTTAAGGAACTTCTGCCCACAGCTTCCCCGTTTAAGGATTTATGAGTTGCTTGGGACCCTTCGAACTTGTACAAATAAAATCCCACCCCCATTTGACAAGAGAAAGAAAAGCCAATTAAAGGCAGATAAGCTTTTTCTTTTTATATTGCTTGCCTCCTCTTGCCCTCAAAACATAAATTTCTTTAAAACAAAACAAAAAAACAACATATAATACAATGGGTCTCTATTTCTTCTCAAGTTTAAAATGAAAACAGTGACCAACAGGCATATGAAAAAATGTTCAACATCACTAGTTACTGGGAAAATGGGAATTAAAACCATAATGATCACCTCACATCTATTAGAATGGCTATATCAAAAAGACAGCAAATTAGTGTTGGAAAGGGTGTGGAGAAAAGGGAACCCTCCTACTACACTGTTGGTGGGAATGTAAACTGGTGCAGCCACTATGTCAAACTATACGATGATTCCTCAAAAACTTGAGAATAGAGCTACCATAATTCCAACCAGGCCAGGCAAATCCCTTCTTCTGTGGTCCCTCCCCAGCTGCAGGTCTCTGCAGCTAAATATACCACAGGTACAAATGCAGACGGCAAACTACGTGACCCCACTGAATTTCAGTTTACCTGTAAAGTCTAAACTGGAATCATCTTTGGTTCCCTGGGCTTTTTTTGGTAAAGATTAAATGAGATAAAGCAAGCCCAGGGCACAAAAGAGGCATTTAACAAGTGATGTCCTTTCCCCTTCTTCCTAGAACCCTCAGGTGACCAACTTTCATAACCCATTATATAATCACACGTTGAGGGTCACCTTTATGACTAAAAAAATCTAAATTCACCAGATGCCTATTTGTATGCTCATAAGATAACCATCAGGCTAACATGGTAGGTAATTTCTGCCATGCACACGCACACACACATGCACACGCACCCTTTACATCACCTAGCGATGAAACAAATGCGCTGCTCACTGAAGGATCAGAAAAAATCCAACCCCAGGAGGTTTCTGAGCAGCAGAGCGATGACCACCTACTGGGGTCATTAATATGGTCACCTGCAGAAAGGCTGTGGATAGAAGTATTTATTAATTCAGTGCCACTTTCAAAGAATGATGGCAGGATAGAAAACCATAATCAAAGGATGATACTTTGGGGAGACAACTGCCCTAAATTTTCAGTGGAGGAACAGAGGGCCGAGGGTTTACTCTAAGGGCCCTTACAGAACTAAGAAAGATTTGCTGTGACCAGCCATAGTTTTTCATATAAACTTTGTCACTGCTGAATAACCATCTGGAACCCTGCAGTTCTAGTACAGTAACATTTCCAGCTTTGCCAGGAACAAAATGGAACGAGTAGAGGGAAATGTATCCAAGGAATGGAAACCAATCCTACTGTATAAGCCAGTTTCCCAGCCTGGGCACTTGGGCATGTAGGGCGTGTAATTCTTTGTTGGGAAGGGCTTTCTGGTGCACTACAGGATTTTTTTTTGTAGCATGCTGGCTCCTCCCTACCCCAATTACAATTAAAACTGTTTCTAGACATTGCCAAATGTCCTCTGGTGGGCAAATGCTGAGGACCACTGGTAAAAGCTACCAGTTCCCAACAGCTCCAACTCCACCCCTTAACCAACTATTGAACTGTCAGAAAAAGCTCTTACAGGTACGAGACCATCATTGGACAGAGATTTTTAAAGAAAACTG